TATATATGGATGGTATATATTCATCAGGATAAGCAGATCAATGAATGAATGGATTAACTTCTTGAACAGTTTCTGGTTATCTCTTTCTCATGCTAGTTTTGCTTTACTGGCTTAGTTCCTGCGTGCTGCATCGGTTCTTGTGCAGTAGTGAGTGGTAAGTTGTTTGCAACCCTGAAATATCTCTGCAGACATCACCATATCACGGCTATGGACAGTTGCTGCTTGCTTTATCAGCCTCAGCAGGTTGTTAACCATTTCAGTGTTGGCCTTTCAGCCTTCTTCCTCCATTCATTTCTGCTTTCCTTTTCCTTTCAGTTGCGGTCCATCTGCTGTTGACCTACCTGTTAACCTTTCTTTCTGCAGCAGATGCATTTTTCCATCCCTCGAAAAGCAGTGGAACGAAGAAAGTTTGAGCCAAGGAGTAACAGCCGTCGGCAGCGAAATAGATGTTAAACGAACCGATGCAAGCACATCTCTCCCAAATATTCTTCCTCTTCGTCCATCAGCCATCTAATTTCTCAAGCTTCATGTCTATGTTTTCCAAACAGCATATTAATTTTTATTATTCTGGTAGTCAATTGTGAATCAGAAAAAGTTAATGTTATGTACTCTTGTGCGTAGTTGAGATTGGCACAACCTTATTTCTATCAAAAATTCATTTTTCTCTTACGTATTTCTGGAAGTAATGCCTTTTGTTCATCCAGGGTTTGCTTCTTGTGCCCACATTGACTGTCTTACTTGCAACAATAGAAAAACATATTTAGAAAATAAAAATGTCATGATTTTCTTTTGAAAATGTCTGTTTGTAATATCTTGTGTTATTCTTCATAGGGGCCTCAGTAAAATATAAAGTTAGGAAAGTACTAAAAATATAAAACTTAATTTTAAGCAGGCACTTATTTTTAAGGCTTCACGTTAATAATTATATTTCTAATCAGAAAGATTAAATGATTTACCAATAAAATTTGAATGTGCACTTGTGGTTTGGTCTCTCATTTTTCTCCTTTCTTCCTTCTAGTAAAAATTATTGGACGCATGTTTGACTTCGAAAGTTTTTTGGCAGGTGATTATTGTGGATATATTCTCCAGTATCCTTGGTTTTATTTTTATTATTGTTATTATTATTGGTTATTTTCGATTGTCACCATTATTAACAGCTATCTAGAAAAGTCATTTTTAGTTTTTATTCAGTTATTTTGACTGATTGGTATCCTGACCAATATTCTTCGCTTATGAATGGTTTTATTTCTGGTCATCAAAATCTCGCTCTTTGAAAATATTCTATTCAGTTTTTGCGAGGTAAAGTTTAGGTATTTTAAAATCTGATAATGGAACAAAATTCTTTCTGTAGTTTTTTTTGCTTTAAAAAATGGCTATTTACTACTATGAGAACTGAGCTTGAATTGAAGGTCATGATTAATTTACTGCGTTTGTTCTCAGATGTGGAACTAACTCATTTAGGATTAAGACTTGTCTTGGCTGGTTGCTTCCAATTAAAAAAGGAAAAGAATAGTGATTTCCAGGTGACGAAATTCGAAGACTTTCATTTCGTACTCAAGTTGATTGCTAGTTTACGGTATCTGCGGTTCTTTAAATAGCAAGTTGGTAGTTATATAACACGATAGACTGCAGGCAGAGTAAGCTTTTTAAAGCCCAATATAAAATCCTCTCATGTTATGACTGTCCGTCTTGCATCATCAAAACCGGTGGAAGACGAGCGATGGAGGAGCTGGAGATATATGAACTAATAGTTGGTTCGGGTTCGTACCTGAAGGTACCAACTGCCTCATCTTGCGACTCAGTATTCGGAAATCAGCAGTCACATCCTTTATTCCAACTTTATGTGCATACTCATACACTCAAGAATATGTACTTTGTTAAAATGAATTATTAGATCAGTATTAAGTGAAAATTTATTCTCTCTCTCTTTATCTCCTATCAGTCATCAGTTCAACCATACAAATGTTTTGTTTTATCACTAAAATTAACAGAATTTAAGTACCATGTGTGATAACCTCTTTGCGTATATGCATGAATACGGTATGCAGTTAGTCATATGAATGAGAAAAAAGCTTGAAATAAGGGGTGGTATTTGCTAGGTTTTTCTCTACCTTATAGATTCTCTCTTATTTTCATCCCATTTTTGCCTTGATTAAGCATTCAGGTATAATTCGTGAAATTGGCTGTTTAAGGAGATTAGAAAAACGACTACCTTTAGTTATCAGCATGCTCACTTTTAAGGTTATAGTTCTTGCACTTTCATATTACTCATGAAAAGAAGTAATGGGATAAGGGTGAGTTTAAATGTCTTTGCTGTATTTTGTAAAGAAATGAGGTAAAAGATCGAGAGCCTTAATAGTTGCTGAGTTGATATTGGTACGGATGGGATGTGAAACAATCTAACACTCAAAAGACGAGGCGTATGCACATTAGTTAATCAATGAAAAGGCGATTGCGCAAAAGGTCAACAGATACAGTTTTGAACAAAGAGCTTGACCCAACCTTATTGAAAAGGGTACCGGTCGCCAAGGTTTAGGGCTCTTTTCGAATGCAGTTTAATGGAATGACGTTGTGTGGAATTAGAAACGGAGAAAAAACAAAACTAAAGCTGTCAAACAAGATGTTTAAAGAATTCTACTCTTTCCTACGTAAGTCAGTACATACATTTGTTACTGTTTTAACGGAATTGAATGGAAGAAGGATTATGTTTTGTTTCTGTCGGTATTTTGGGTTATACTTAATTAAATCCTTTTTTCGTAAGCTTTGTTTTCTGTGATATGCACCTAAACTTGTAAGTTTCAAAGTTCGAAAATTCATTCTTGATTGATATTGTGCGACAAACAGTCACGACTAACCTCTTAAACTTACACGTAGACATACATATTTACCAACACATATTTTTTTTCACTAACATTTCTCAAAATGTAAGTTTTCATTTAAAAAAATTCGGTTGCTTGAGAAATTTTCGTCTCTGATTGTCCTGGTACATATAAATCATCAAACACCATTTGAAATGGCATTGTGAAGTACAAAATTTTCAGATTTTTTGATGCACAAAAAATTAAATCTGTTATAGTGTCATACTTTATTTAATTAAGTACATAATATCAAATAAATTTCCTTACAATCACTCGTTGCATTAAAGACTCTAAACTTTTCAGTCCCTAATCATTAATTTTTTCTATTTATTATAAATGGTTTTGCAAACCCATAGAGTTTAGTATATTTCATGAGGCGGGTTGAGTACAATTTCACTTTACATCGCTGCAATATAAGCAAAGGCAGCAGAGCACTCTGGATGTTCGGTAGTTGTATCTTTGGTGTGAACATAAGCTGAGAGTGAATTACTGAGTCGTTTTAAGCAATAATATTCATGAGACGTTGTATTGGTTGTTCATCCCCAAAGGCATACACTTTGTTTTTCATTCTGACTAGTATAGCATGAAACGAATTTTTGTGCATGAAGTGTTTTCTTCCTTCTTATCTTTACGAAATCTTTTTCAGTTGAAAGCGCTGTTTTTGTGTTGGAGGTGACAGTTTTTCTCTACTTATTAGAAGTGCTTCTTTGTGTAATCATTAGTGAGTTGGCAACTTATTTTGATACTCTTTTTACTACTGGCCTTTTACTTTTCTTTATTTCATGTCCGCAGTCGGCGTAAATTATCCTTACATGTGATCACTGGGGATGAGAACGAAATAAGTGTGTACCATTTACTCGAAAGTCTAAAAAGGATAAATGCCGAGAAGTCTCAGTCATCATTTCTCTGTACTGCAAGTTGCTATTAAAGATTTATTGCAAGGCCAAATCAGTCAAACTCTGTAAAACCTCTTTGTAAAATAATACTTATTGAATATTTAAGCGAGAATACTATCGGGAAACTGTTAAAGGCATCAGTTGTTCTGGAAACGATATTATCAAGAGAGATTTAAACTCTAAAATTCTTTTTCATCCTTTTCTAAGAGTTGTTTGACTATTCTCATGTTTTCGTTCTTTTTTCAACCATTTGTCTCAGCATTTGCATCTTAAATTTAGAGTTTTATTTGAACATTTGAACATTTATGCGACAAATGTCATTTGTCAAATAAGATTATAGAGCTACTTATGCAAGTTTCCTGTAACAATTTGGCAAAGAAGTAACTCAAAAAATTGAAGTTGAAAATATGTGCATCATTTTCTAGTGTCGTATATCGTACATTTACATTTTTGAAAAATGAATAATGTGGATACGGTAGAAATTGAAGGAAAGCAGACACATGCATTATAATATCCAATCATCGACGTCTGTTATGGGGTCGTCAGCAGTTCTTATTATCATACATAAGTTCCTTACGTCACATGCACGTCTTGCATTTCTCTTTTTCTTTCCCTCATTTGTTTCATTTTTATGATTGTTTTCTTGTTGATCCTGACTTTTTTTTCTTGATAGTATCATATCAATTATTTTATGCATATTTATGCATCCAAAAATTTGTTTGAAGATAGAAAATGTACAACATGTTTCTCCACAGATTTCATAAAATTTGTCGTTGTGTTTATCAGCAATGGCGTGGGCGTTTAAGAAAATTTATTATTCTTTGGTCTTTTTATTTATTGTAATGAAATTTATCTCCGCTCTAGGTTTCATGATTTTTTTTCAGTTTCATATTACATAAATGTAAGGGGTTGCTGTATGAAGCAAGCAAATTTTCCGAACAGGATTAGGGGAGAATTAAAGTAAAGGAGGGGCATATGTTATTAATTGACTTAAATGATACTGGATTATATCAATTAATAACACATCTCGCCCGTTCATGAGATGAACTAACCAAAGTTTGAGCTTCATCCTATTAGTTCTCACATACAAATGTAAAGATAGGAACAGAGTTCTTTGTCGTTTGCCAAAGTTATTTATCATTTGCGCATCGTGGTGCTTTTTTTTTGACTCTGGACATTTTGGTTGAAGTTTTATCATAATCAATTTCTGGTAATTTTCAATCGATTTTAGAACTGTCAAATACTGGTAAGTGAGGCGTAAAGAATAAAAGAAAATTTTTAATGGCTGCCACGAAAGCGTGTAGATCGAAGATTAATGTAAACAGCTGCGCTTTCAGTAGTGGTTGAGAATCATGTGAAATCAGATATCCTTTAGCATCAATTGCTGTAGAGTTGTCAACTGAAACTTATTAAGATTTACTCTTGGGAATCATTTTCATTTCCTTTTGTTGGCATTTAAATATATTTATTTATTCACATGATATTCTCACGTCTTTTCAACATTCTGTTTGAGTGGTAATGCAAACAGTATGCTTAGCATTATAATTCAATTTTTCTAGATTTATCTTGTACATAATTGAATTTTAATTTACTAGTCGTTAACATGGAAGCATTGTGTTTAAATGATTTCGTTCATTTCGGAACTAGCATTAAGGATTTTAAGACTTTTATTCGAAAATGCAGCTCTAAAAATTTTCATTCATGCTTTCATTTATGTGATCAAAATTATTTTCTCCTCAATTAGTTGATTATCGTAAGCTGTGTGTTCCTGATTACTAATTTGAATTAAATTAAAAGTGAAAGAGGTGAATCATGACATGTTACGAGATGAGAGGATCAGAAAATGGATTTGGAGCGAAAAGTTTCAGTGGCATTAGAATGTTTACAAGCATTTTCACGGCTGTTGCGGAGCAACTGCAAACTGAAAGTAGCATGAATACTTTTTTGTTAGATTATACTGATGTTTTTGTATTATAATGTATATGTGAAGTTGCTATTTTTTTCCACTCTGCCTATCCTTAGTCAGGTGAAGGATAATTCTTTGAATACCAAAGCAGCTCTTCATATATCCATTTTTTTAAATACCATAGCCTCAGGTATGGATTCTTTCGTCATAAAATAGCCGAGAAGGATAACAATGATTGGTTCGTATGGAACTGTTGTCATCCTCCCACTTTCCTCTTTCTTATTGGCTTGCGTGCTGTTATGAATGTGTTCAGCGCTGTATGTTGAAATGTTCTATTAGATTTCATAGGATTGTGTTACTAGACTTGCTTCACGACATCCATAATATTTAAACACGGGTCACAAGGACACACTGGAAAAGATAATATGTATGGACTTTCTAACTGTACTATCGAAATCTCATCACTTCTGTAAGAAAAATCATGATATTTTACATAATGATTCTACCTAAACATGAAGTATAGAGGAAAAGATTACGGAAGAAGCTCCAATTCAAGCATCCAAAAAGTCAATAGAGAAACATATTTATCTTTAGCTTCTGACTCTCATTTTCGTATAACTGTCTAAAGGAAAGCAGATCAGAGGGGAAAAGTCAAGTTCTAGAAAATCTATGCCACTAGATATGTTAAACACGGTTTTCCATATTGTACGAAGAATTCTCTCTCTTCGCATATACAAACTCACTTTCTTATGAACATTTCTAAAAATTGATCACAATACCTCAGCTGTAAAAATTACTGCTCACCCACATTATTGTCACTTTATCTATCATTTTTTTCGCTATATTTTGGCTTCAAATGAAGTTATCTACTTGTTTGAATTTTCAGCGCATCTTTTCAGAAATTAGTCATCTTTGTATATTTTTCATTATTTTCGGAATAGAAATAAGGTTTTTGTAGAATTGTAGATATTATGTATTTTACTTTCGTTTTTCATTTGTATTGGTCATTTCAATCCCAGTTCATTTTTAATCAAGAAGTATGATAACGTTTCGGCATTTGAGATTATGAAAAAAATTAATTTCAAAGGATTCTAGATTCACATTAAGAAGTGGTAACATATTTCTGGCAGTAAACAAATGTATGTTAAAAGTTAGGTAAGGAAAGTAATGCATAAAGAGTTGAGAATGAAGTTGTAAATTTTTGTTACCTTATCGAAATATTATGTCTTATAAAGATATGCAAGTAGAAGGTAAATAGTTTGATAATGGAAACGATCATTACGGGATTAGAATTTAGTACTGTTTTTGTTCTGAAGCTGATTGTATGTATCCTGATTATTCTGGACATTCGCCAATTGTTACATACGTCCTTGAGTTCTGATGCACAGTGTATTTATCAAACATTTTTTCAACCGAAGTTTATTATAGATTATGAAGACGACAAAGGTTCGGAGCTCAGAATTAAGTGTAAGGGAAGTAATGAAGTAATATGAATTGTCTGTGAAGTTTAGACACAAGGATAAAAGAAAAGGATGGGAATTCGCAAAGATAAGAAGTTTAAACGGCATTTAAGATCATATTTTACGCGTTATCATGGAGTTTTGGTACTACTGAATATCTGAATCATCAACACTTACTTGATATGTCAAGTATATTGATGCTGTTCTGAAGAGATAAAGTGTTGATAAGATTTGGTGAAAAGTATAGTAATTATATTTATCTAATTTTTCGTTATGGCTTATTTCTCGCCGTTGTTAAAGTGGTCTCATAGAAAATCTGCGCATTTTATCAAGTTTTATGTTATTATAATATGATTGTAGTAGTATGTGTTATAATAAATATTATAATAGCAGTGATAATAATAATTATTATGCTATATTATTGTCATTATGTGTATGATATTTTAGTGAAGTATTCCTTTTGACTTTGACATCTACATGGGAATTTTCGCACTTTTACACCAAATAGATTTGGTGCCATCTGAATTCCTGAGTCCAAAATTTGACCATCGACGATGCTTTTTTTTCTTCATTTTTTACACAATATGAATCACAGATAGCTATCATTCCCTCCATTATAGAAAAGAAATTGTTTGACATGGCATGTGTATCGGGAGATTCCATTTCGTGAAGCGCTTATTCATTAAATATTCTGCAATGAATTTAAACATAGTTTCAGGAATTCATTGCATTCGGAAATAATATTGGTTCTCAACATTAGATGTTGCTTTCATTTTCATCTCTTCGTAGAAATTCATTTATGGAACTGATTTATTAGGAAAAAACAAAAGAAAAACAAACATAAGAGATCGGAATGGGAAGCGAAAGGTAGAGGGAGGGAAATAGGAATGAAAGTAGAAGTGTGGAGAACGTGAAGCAGGAAACATGGAGAACTGAGAGCCTGCGGATGATTTATTCCAACTGATTTTCGTTTATGTGGTCGTTTATACAGTCTGTATATTTATATGTAGTGTTTCCAGTTTAACGTGCTTCACTAAAATCTGGCCAAGATTTTAATGTGTGGGTTTGTAACGGTACTTTCATAGGATTTCATTTCGTGGTTTAACTGAAATAATTCATTTTGATCAGTAATGCATAAATTTTCCTCCTCTCCATTCTAAATTGTTCTTGAGATATATTTGCAATTGTTCATATTTACCGTATCGTACAGTTTATTTCCATCAGTGGATCAAATTCTCTTCGTGTTGTAATCAACAAAATGAGTTGTGCTAATGGTATTGTTACCTTTTACAGAGCATTTAAAACATCTTGCTGTAGTTCATTAAGTCTGGTGTAGAAGGATTTGCTGATTTCCGCAGAATTTCTGTTGCTAGTATGGTGTGCATGAGACTGATTTATAGCATCATTCAATGCAATATTTTCATGATTATATATGTATAATTTTGCAGGAAAACCAAATACTGAAGCCCAGTAGAAAAAAATAAAAGAAGGGAAAGAAATAATGACTGATGAATGCTGTTATGTGTGCAACGAGTGCCCAAATTCCTATGCAACATTAGATGATTTGGAACGGCACATGGAACAAGTACATGCAGGATTGTACTGCTTAGATACAAATACCAGTGTTACAGCTACCTTACGATTACCTGGAAAGGAAATTGGTGACGATAAAGAATACTGCTTCAAAAGTGAGACTGGTGATCAAAAAATGAACACTTTGGGACATGTATGCTTTTCTTTTTCGCTCATGTAATATTTTCCATATTAAATTGTGATAAAAAGAATGATTTTAAGAACAAATTTATATAAATAGTCATAGAATTTAATATTTTAAGACTTTAAACTTGAAATTCAAATAGTGGTCAAGAAGACTGCAGGCACCTGGGAAAATTAGTCGGCAAAACATTTTCTTAGCTTTGAGTTTGAAACTAGAAGTGAAGTTCTTGTTTCAGAATGTCCGGCATGGTGAAAGTGGTGGTGATTCACCGAGCAGCTCGGATCTGTCAAATTTTGATAGCACAGTCGATGCTACAAATTATAATTTAGATGAAAGTATGAATGAAGAGGAACGTAAAACATTTGGATGTCGATTTTGTCCGAAATTGTTTCATGAGCGATCACAGGTCTAAAAAATCAAAATTTATTTTTGTGAAATGATCTTCAAGCATTGCTGATAAGTTGATTTCTTCGACATTATCGCATTGTTTTAAATAATGTCTCAATATTACATCAGAATTTAAATGAAGTAGTTGACGCAAACATCATTTCAAGCCTTAATTTGTATAATTATCGAAGGAGATATGATGCTAAACATTTTATGTCATAAAATATATAATTTACGGAGAGACATTTTGATTGGGATGCGAGCATGAATGATACAGTTGAAACAATGTATTGGAATTTATTTTAAAGAAGAAAAAATGTTCTATTTCTGAAAGAAATCACTTTGTTTGTTTGCTTTGCTTTTCAATAATTTTCGTTGATTCATAAGCCACTGTTGATTTGATATTTGAAAGAATCAGCAAAGTGCTAGAGGACCATTTATTTATTTACGCATGGTGCTTCCAATCATGCAACAGAAATTACAATTTCTCTTTTGCAGTCTCTCTTTCTTCTTTAAATCTCAGAGATAGAATTATTTTTATTTTTGTTTATTTACTCTACCTTGTATTCTCAGATGAAATTTAATACTAATTATTATCAATGCATGACTCTAAGTATGAAATGTGACGGACTCTTTAAGGTTTTAAATATTCTCATAATCAAGGAAAAAGTTTGCAGTATTTGAAGTATGACAAAACGTTTATGCATTTCCCTAAAATTTTTCAGAACCAATTTATTATGAAGAAAAGAAGTTTTCTTCTTTTTTTTAAGTATTGCATAGGAATCAAAGTAGGAAAGGGTCATATGTTTTGCTTTGACTCATAATTATTTCTGTAAAGATAAGATCAATATACATGGCACGGGGAAAAGTTGTGTGTTTGTTGTTATCTACGGTACTGTTCATGTTTAAGCCGATCCAAGTTCCATGTTTAGAAAAAGTGGTTTTTTTTCTTGCAGTTAAACATACACTACAAACATACGCATCGTGATAAGCCGCAATATGAATGTGATGAATGTCATGTTATTTTCGCAGTTAAACGCGAACTAAGCACTCACATGCGTACTCATAGCGGAGAACAACCTCACACGTGTACGCAATGCGGTAAACAATTCGGTACTCGTCAGTTACTCAAGAAACACTGGATGTGGCACACTGGTGAGCGGTCGCATATATGCCCACATTGTGGTAAAGCGTTTTTCCAGGTATTGTCCTTTAAAACACTTTTTAATTTGTTAATATATTTGCTGAAGGTGAAGTATTTCCTCTTAAAATTATTTCGTAAAGCCAAAAATAAATTTATAAATATTTTTGAATTTTATGAATATTGTGCTAGTTGCTCTTGAACTGTGTCAGTTTTCTGAAAACCGGTACTTCGACTGATTGTTACTTATAAAATTGATTAAACTTGTCATTATGAGAATTTCGTAAATGAGTTTATAATGAGTTTATAGTTTTCTCGAAATAAAAATATAAATTGTCCAGTTTTTTATTTATGAATTGGGCAGATAAATTTGCATAAATTAGAAGTAAAAAGGGATTTCTATGCTTCAGCAAGCGGTTTTAGTGCAGATGACTTCAACTTCAAATGCACATTTTCTTTCTTTCCCACTGAAATATTTGGTAAGAAGAGTGAAATGCTTTAGAAGGGACATTTAACGCAACATCTTATGATTCATGCGGGAGGACGACCGCATCAATGTCCATTATGCCAAAAAACATTCATTTTCAAGTTCGATCTCAATCGACATATGAAAATTCATGCTGAACGCGGATTCTCTTGTGAAAAATGTGGTCGGTCGTTTTTGAAACAGTTGCAGCTTGATGAGCATGCCCTCAAATGTAAAGGTGTTACGGGTGTTCGGTTCGTTCCTTCCTTTGTTTTTTACCACACGAGTTAATTGATGAAATGATTAAGAGTTTATCTTTAATTAAATATGTCCAACTTTGCCCACTTTTCATGCATGTTTCTGAGATTTTGGAGTAAAAAAACAATTTTTTGACTTTCCATTTTTGGGTAACCACGACAAGGTGTTTTAAATTTGCGGTGCTTTAGAAATTTACAAATAATAGCTTTTTCTGTTACTCATTATTTATTTTATTAAAAATAAAGATAATAAATACAATTTCTACTGATTCAGAGGAAATCTTAGTCAAACATATTCCTGAATTCTAACTCAAGCAACTTTCAATCACTTATATTCTTACCATCTTTACTGGTCTTTTTATATTAATATGCTTTTCCAGCAGATTTATTTTGTAATAAAACGTTCATTTGTGGGAAATATGTTTTTGACATCATCAGTCAGCGAACAGTTTAATCAAAATACATATGCTTTGGATTTCTGTGCAAAAATTTTTTTTACTTAAATAAGTTGTTTGGTTTGAGTTTTATGAAGATGGAAGTTCAGAAATATAAAAATTTATTTAAATACTGATTCTGTGCCTATTTCTCTAAAATACTGGGTAGCAAGCACTAACCTTTCTAGTGCATTTGAATGGAAAAGTCTGTGTAATTGAGAAATGGAATTTTCTCGAATGATCAATTTCACTCTTAACATCATTTATTGAGTAAAATTCATTATCCTCTGACATCTTTAATATTGTAGATTTGTAATATCCAACTGCACAGAGTAAAAAGATGATCTCTTAATTTTCAGCAAATTTTGATTAAAAGCAAGTATACTACATGGTAAAACCTTTTTTCACTAATTTTAAATTTCCACAGTTGTTGAAAATATGTATTCTTAGAAATAAGATTTGCGCTTTGATTACGCACGTTTTCCAGATGATAAATAGACTGTTTGTTTAGTCCTCACAGTGACGTGACAACATTTGTACTAATTCTAGACATTTTTTAATATACACACTACAAATTCAGTTAATGTTCTGCTTGTGATAACTTTTTCTGAAAATCTTAAATAAAGAAGTAATGTCTCTAAATACCACATTCGTAATTTTAGTTAATTATGCTCTAAATATTTGATAAGCAACTGCTTATTTACATTAAATTGAAGAATCTAATCAGCGAACACTAGAAAATATTAAGATTGTAAAATTGTTGATGAGAAACATTTTTTTCGTTTTTGTGTCCTTCGCCAAAATATTATTATAGAAGTCAACCAATCACTCGAACAAGCACACCTACGGCTGATACTGGTAATGGTATTGGAAATTCTATTATTAATGTAAAATCTGAACTTCGATCACCAGTTGGGCCATCACTTGGCAGACGACAGTCTATTTCAGCTCAACAACATCAGCATCAGTTGCAAATTTGCCAACAGCAAAAGCATCAAGTAGTAAGCAGTACTCCTGCTGCTGCACCATCAGTTCTTTCTTTAGAGGAAATGAGCAAGGTTAGTGTGCATTTTTTATAATAAAGTCATAAAATGCACTTAATGGGAATCGCAAGTTTTGAGATTTAACTTTGTTACTCAATTTTTCACAGCGAATTTTTATAGTGAAAATATACCTGTTAATGTTTTGTATGCTGAGAAAATAAAGGTTATAGAGACTCTAAAAATCATAGCTTTGACTTATTCACAGACAGAAGTTGGAAGTTTTTTGAGATGATTTATAATAATGACGAAAGTCTACTTTCCTCACAACATAGTTTTTATTTTTGTTGTTAACACGGTTTCTTATAAAACATATGCATGAAAAGTTATACGATGCGATTTTGTTGTTCGAAACGGAAAAGATTCGAAAAATAATTCTTCAGGTAGCTCAGTTACTCGCAATACAACAACAGCAACGAGCCCTTGCAGCAGCTGCTGCAGCACAGCACAATGTAATTGCACATGCAGCAGCAGCAGCAGCAAATCCGCTGTTACAAGTGAGTGCATTGCAAAATTTCGCTCAAAGCCTGATATCTAATGGGCCCAACAATCAGCAGCAGCTCACGGGTCAAACGTTCTTTTGTGCTTTCTGCATGAAGCATTTCAACACCCAAGCTTCATTTACATTACATCTCACATTCGTTCATTTTCGCAGCAGCATGAACATGCACAGTTGCTTCTCAGAACAGTTTGATAATGAGGTGACCGTGTGTTTTGCCTCTCCTATGTAGTAGGATAATTTGATTACAGTTTTTCGTATTTGCCATGGTCTGATTATCTTGGTGTCTTAATGTGCATCTCTAAACCATTTACCTCCTATTTTATCCATTTTTTCATCTATTTTATAATGTATTTTGAAAATAACTTGTTGAAAGTATGGGTTGCTATTTCATGATACCACAGTAGTAGGGCAATGATAAGACCGTGCTGTTGCACACTTTTTCCTTTGGTTTTTTTTCTTTAGTGGATGTTCAGCTTTTTTGGTTTCTTTAGTTGATGAAGTGAATGCTTTTTGTCATTAGATTTGTAATGAATTGCGGAAAGTACATTTCTGTATAAAACAATTTGAGCATTTACAGAATCCCTTGTGCTGCGAAGTAAGAAAGTAGTATAAGTTGCGATTTTGTGAAGAAATCACACTGAAATAAATATAAGACGTCTGTCCTCTTGGTACTCTGTTGGACTCGATTAATTTTAAATAATTAGCTTTCATTATCGTATATTCACAAGATATTTGATCCGAATAATAGCATATGCCAAACTTTTTTTCAAGTTAGATGTATTATGGAATGGTACGTGGTTGAATTACTTAAAACTTTTTTTTGGTCCTGAAGAAATGGTTATTTTCGTATTTGTCATGTCGCTAAACTTCTTTCAAGGGTAAGTTAAATGTACCGCTGTCAACATCAGTTCCATCTCTTCTGGGAACGGTTGCAAATTCAAAAGCAGCTTCCGAAGATACTAATATACACTCAGACACTACTACGAATTCTTCGTGTTCTTCTAGGTAAGAAATTATTGGATCAGTTTTTAGTATTTCAAGAAGTTTTTTTATATTTATTTAGTATTAACAGCTTATTCCGTAGAAAGAGGAAGTTTTATATATTATTCAGCATGATAGTAGGCGAAAGTTTTTTAATGATGTACTTTGCAGTCCGCAGAAAGTATCACCAGGTGTTGCGCAAAGGAGAACTCAGTCACCGACACAACTATCTGAAGCAGACCACTTATCCGGTGGAACCGAATCACCTGATATTTCCAGTCAAAAAGGTTGTGAGCAATGTGAAACCCATCGACAGCGAGTTGCTGAGTTAGAACAAAGACTGGAAGCGAATCGGACTGAACTTAAGAATACTCGTGAACTAATGCGTCGTATAGGAGTCATAGCTGGTTCATTACTTGAATCATGTACCAACTTTGATAAACAGTGGATGTCACATAGTCGTAAAGTGTATTCACAAATACAGTCGGTCATATGCAATATGGAGTAAGTTGGTCATGCGAAATATATTTCGGCTCGACTTATTTTTGAGTATTCAGTTCTAATGTTATCTCTTGCTTAGGATCTAAATGAAGACTCATCAGCGAATCATTTATTCAAGTATGTCACTCATTTCTGATTGTTGGTATAAAGTCAAAATCTATTACTGTGATCTCATTTGGACTACTTGTAATGAGAGAGTGAGTGGAAAATATCGTAAACTAAAAAATTAAGAGAAAAATGAACAAAGAATAGGCATTGGTTATGAGTTTTTCATTATTAAGAACGCTAGTTGTCATGGGTTAGTTATTTTTGATTCTCTCGTCCTTTAATCATTTTTAAATTATCAAGTCCGTTACTTCCTGTTATTTTTTGTTCCTGGTCTGGATAACAACATCATGTATTAAACTATCCTCTATTCATTAAATTTTCTGACTAATTTATTAAAAAGATCAATCTTTTCACTCTAATTTATCACAGTATACTATAGTTTCCTTCGTTCTTTTCCCATTCACTGTTATTTTTATCACAAAATAACGTTTCATTTGTGGTAAAAAAGTATGAACATAATCATTACTAATTAATGGGTCGACAGCCAGCCATTTAGAACCTTTTTGCTAGAGCTATGATAAAAGTAGGTATCAAAAAGTTGTGTTAAAAGACTTCTCTGAGAATTTTTCGAGAACTTGTGTTACCAAAAGATATATGGTTAACAAGGAAATAAGGAATGAATGTTTCGAGAAAGGGTAGTTCAGCCAAATGTTCTAAGCACGTTTGTCTTACAAATTATAATGTTGTGCATTCCAGCTTAGAGCAGTTCTAAACATTTGATTTTAATATTGTATGTCCTAATTTTTTTTTTGCATTTCATGAATTCCAATGCGAGAAATCTTCTCATATGTAATAATTGGTATGTACTGATTATACGTGACACGAATTATCGGTCACTACCAGTAATTAATCTGTTAAATTTCATGCATATTACTCGTATTTGTTATTGAAAGCTGTTATTTTGTGTACGTTGATGATTGTTGATTTACTTTTATGCGAACACTTCTCGTGATTGCTTTCTGAAGGTTCATGATATTGCTCTCTATGGTCACATAACGTGTTAGGGAACTTTTTTCATTTTTTTGGGAAAAAGAATAATTTTTTCTGCCATTAGAATTTGAAATACAGCATTTTATTAAAAATTAATTCGCTTGTTGCATGTTTCATCGAGAATTAATTAATTATTCTTTATAGAAATAAATCATCTCTTGTAATACTTAGTAGATGCATAGGCATAATTTTTGACACCATTTTTTCCCCTTCAATCAGCATTTTTGCAATCTTATTTCATCTGCTCTGTTATGAAACGAAAAACAGCTGAAACATGCTAAAATTAATCGGAGTTAAATTGTTTTGGTAAATCTTTACCTTCTTAATCAAATGTGCCTTGTGTCCAAACTTTCTCATTTTGAAGTTAGAAATGATCTAAACATTTCTTCCTCTGTATTCACAAAACTGGTGCCCATTCTTTAACATACAGTGATTTGAGTGACACATTTTTTATTGCGCATTTTGGAGCAGGAGTGTTAATTTATTGCCGTTCCTAGTTTTCGAGTGTATTTTACTTTTCGCCTTTTCTTATCTGTTTGGAAATGGTTTTCCATCTCTGAGACACTCATTATATTCACTGAATGTGGCTTCTTCGTTTTTGCGCAAATAATTTTGAGCTGCAGTGCATTTCCAAATTCCACTTCATAAAACGTCATCATTCCTAATATGTGATCATTATAATTTTCATCTTGTTTATTACATTGTATTGATTATATTGATGTTACTAGCTGATGGTGAGTGATTGATTTAATTTGCTCTTTTTGAAATTTCATTTTTTCTAAAACTGTTGCAGCTGTTTGACTTGTTTATCACCAATTATCAGTGAACTGATGGTACTTTATGAGTTATGAAGATAGATTATTGGTGGTATTTTTTCTGCAGAATATCATTTATTTGTAGTTGCATTAAATTATCTTTTTGTAGAGTCTCCGCTATCGTTTCTGCTAAAAAACGTGCGCAGCATGATATGATGGTGCAATGCCCAAATTTTACCAAGAAAACATTAAGATTCAGGTGACAGAAGATTGTTTTGCTCCGTCTCTGTTCAATTGATAAAGTTTTTCTTTGTTTAGTTTAACAAAATTACCATTTAGAAAATATTTCTGAAACACTGACGTTTATTCTATTAGTGAACATACGCGCGAAAACGTTTTGAAAGATGAATTTGTTGTGAAGAGGACAACCGTATGTCAGGATATGATTAAATGCTGTGGTCACTGAATTTTTCAATTTGTGTTCAATTCTAGTTTAACTCTAGAATTCAGCAATGTAAGAGGAACTCGGATAAAGCTGTTAATTTTTTATTACAAATAGTGCACCTTAATTTTTTGAACGGTTTTCGAATGTTCTTGCCTTTTCCACGTACTGAAAATGAAATAGTCCTTCATCTCTGAGTTGACGCGCCTTTCTTGTATTTGTGTGATTTTTGACTGCAACAGCTCTCATCACATTTGAAGTGTCTCTGAATAAAATAAGGTTGTTTTGGCAACAGTTCCTCACGTTTTTTACTTTCTCTTTCATTGCTAGTCAGAGTTGAGCATAATATTTTTAATTTGACTGTTGCAACTAAATTATGGCGACCTTATTCATGCTTTTTAATGAAGTGAGACCCTTACACATCGACTGTTCATAGTGCAAGCAGTATTTTAACATTAATTTCTTTCGGCTTTCACACATGCAACGGTCACCAGTCTTTTGCTAATTTTATTATTTACTGTCTTTCATTTTAGCGAATAAATTATTAAGATATGCGCTAATAGTCCATTATTTTATGAGGTAATGGATTCTTTCTATCTGTGATAATATTTCTCTTTGAATGTTTTCTCGTTCCAAGTAGATTTGCCATTTAGACAATATTTCTATCATCCATAAGTATGCAACGATAATTTATTGTGTATGAAGATAGCACTGTTTACTTTTTTTTTTAATTTCAACTAATTAACTTCATTAAATTATTAGCAAATCAGATCTGCTTGAATTATTTATTCATGATTTTTTGAAATTGTCAGTTGACATGAACAATATGAAGAAGAAACAAGGTGAATTGTTATTCTGGAAAAGACGTGAATAGAAATCAAACGAAACGTAATAAAAATAGAAAGCTATCAAACACAGCTGTTTTGCAAGCATCGTTGTTTTTGTTACATTGTTATCTAATATGGGATTTGGTTATTTTGACCAATTACTTTCATTGATCAAAATTGTATTTTATTACAAAGTGCATCAGACAGGTGATTACTGTCGTTTCAGTTATTTTTGTGATTTTTAATTTTTGATATGATGAATTGCAATTGGTGGGATAAGTCGATGAAATTTCAGTTATATAGATTTTAAGAAAATCATATCAGAACTTGGCATGAAGAAGAAACCGTGCTTGTATTTGTCACTGAGTAAATAAGCCATTGTATGCATATGTTTTTCAGACACATAGCAATCTAGATTTCGTTCTGCAAATTTAGACGTTTTTAATATATTATGCACTGTGCGAAAGCAAGCGGATTTAAGAATGAAGGGATTGTTCAAAGTATGTAAATAAGATATGTGTTTCTCTCTATATTGGACCTATAATAGTATTGGTTTGATAAAGTTGCAGAGTGCACCATGGTTTACTCATCCTTTCAGTCTTGCTCACCAAATGAAAAGCATTCATTCAGTTTCCTTACCTTTTCATTTATTCAGCATTACATGGATCACTTTAGAATACTGATTGTTGGGGTAAGACAATATTTTAAAGTAGACGCAGTTTTAATGCTCTAATTGTAATATTAATTTGTAGGAATGATTAGATTGTTTACCTGTAGCACCTTGTTTCATTCAAAATTGTTGTAGCACTAATAATAATACCATCGGAAGTACTGTAGAAAATAGACATCACATTATCTGTTTACTACATTCCGAGAATCGTAAATTTTCCGTGCTGTGGCTAAAAAGTGCAGGTTGCTCCAATTTCAAAGTCTACTTTCTACGTCTGAATCGACTGCGTTACAAGAGGCAGTGCATAAGAATTTAGTGACATCTCTGCTTTACACTTTGGATAAAGTTGGTCCGTAACTCTTTTTTCCTTTCACAACCGGGCTACAACTTTAATTTGATAGATTAAAGATTCCACCACAGTGTTGTCAATATGCCAGTTTGCGGTTGAACGAACTGATGCGGTTAATTGGTGATTGAATGGTTCATTTACCAATGTGAATTTATTGGATGCAATTATGTAAAATACAGAATCAACTAGTATTGTATCTACTTGCATTTTCTATGATTTATATATTTTACTCATTAATATCATAAAGTAAGGAATCGTTAGACATGGATTATTTCTTACTGCAATCAAAGTTTTGTGTCTGGTTTCAGTAATGAACCAGGACAAGCAAACCAACAATCTGCTTTTTTTTAAATTTTGTTGTCAACTCATAAAGATGATACTAATAAGCATGCTGGAATTTCATTACCTTCATTTGGTGCAATCACCGATTCTAAATGGATTCCACACAGCACGAACAGAAATAAAACTCTCCAATCATTTCCCTTTGTTTATCAAAAGGAGGCTGATCTTTTTCATTTCGCACGAAATGAAATAGTGGATAAAGTGGTATGTGAAAAAAAATTACATTCTTAGTAATACGTCTGACTTGTTTGTTAGTACAAATTCAGTTTACTATGGTTTTCGACTTCTTTCAAGACTTGGAAATTCTTGATATCATCACAAAATCACTTGAAAATCACAAAAACTTGAAGCTTTAAAAATGAGAAATCCTCAACTTCAACTTCATTGGAATTAATCCTGGTAAAAATTTTGAACAGTACATGAAAGATAATTTTAAGATAAAGAATCTCCAGCAGTCCATGAATAGTATTTTTCATGTAAGGAGAATAAAACTACTCTTTTTCATCACAGTTCACTCTTATAAT